AAATCAGATCTGCTTATATTTAACACTTCGTTTAACATGTTAAATATACTGCCTTTGTATCTACCAAAAAAGGACATGCCATTTAGACACCATAAACTCCTAAACTGAGCTCACACTGTAAATAGTATTTTATACTAAATTTTTTGTGCAATAAAACAGACTAATTTGGGCGAGGGGGTGTCCCTTAAAGCCGAGTCTGTTATATTATAAAGTAGGTTTTCCGAAAACATGTTTAAAAATTGACAAATTAGTTTACCTGTTTTGACTTATGTAGACACATTTGTGTAATTAAAAGTATGTATGAAAAGTTTAGTTTCACAGAAAAGTTGCCTGTATGTATTCCTGTCATTTTAAATCTATACAGAGCAGGTCTAGTAAATGCAGGCATTCGCCCGTCACCTGGTGAGCAGATGCGCACGGCTGGGTGGGGCTTAGCATATGTGGGTCCGTGTACTGCAGAAAGTCCCGCCACGTGACCGCAGGACCAACCAACCAATTAACACTGGTGATGCGGTGTGATCACGTGCTAATCACTTGCTGAACATTGTTCATGAGCAGGGACACTTGGATTTAAATATGTCGACTATAGTTGTAGGTATATAATATTTAGTTGTGTTGGTGAAATTACTATCTTTTTCCCAACATATGGCCTATTTGCGAAAATGTGTTAAAAATAACAGTTAACCTGTTACTTTAATTATAAACAAATCTTGGTTAAAAGCATTTTTAAATTAACAGGGTGCTAATTTTCACATATGACATATGGATGGGAAATTTTGTCCATTAAATCCAAAGTCCATTAAATCGAGATCTGCAAAATTGAGGATTTACTGTATATATATAAAAAAAAATGTGTTGGAAAGAGCTATGTCCTTAGTAGAATGACATGCAAGACAATAATGCAAATTAAATGATGAGGAAAATAATGTGTTCACCTTCACAGACAAAATCTCTATCAAACTTTTAAGCTGTAAAGAAGAATAGAGATATTGTGAAGGATATATTCATAATTGATTTTAATTAAAATAACCAAGTACAGTAAGCTCATATATAGTATGAAATATTAAGCAACAAACTCAACAAGCTAATACTAATATAGTCTATATAATTTTTAAGTGCTAAATGCAAACTATTTGGAATTTCTTAGGTAGTATAGTTAGTAAAATTCCAATTATATCCCAACTGAATCTCTCTTGGCATTTCAATTCATCCTTTTTAATCTGCCCCCAAAACAGCAAGTTCTCAACCTTTCTAATGCCACAACCCTTTAATACAGTTCCCATGTTGTGGTGACCCCAACCATAAAATTATTTTCATTGCTACTTCATAACTGTAATTTTGCTACTGTTATGAATCATAATGTAAATATCTGATATGCAGGATGTATTTTCAGGGGTCGCGACCCACAGGTTGAGAACCACTGCCTTAGAGGATTGTGATCACTGTGGCGATACTGCACATCTGGCCCTTCCTAAAATACCCTCCCTGGAGTGACCTCTCCTAGCTGGTGCAGCTGAAGGTCATGTTGAAATCTAAACATAGAACTCCAGCCTTCTTTACGATTGTCAAAATTCCCACTTGATTAAATTAATAGAAACAGAGTCATCATTTCCTTTCTCCAGCAATATCTTCATTTTCAATAAACATGCACTGGATGCCTTATAACAAAACTTTACAGAATTTGGTAAAATAGAAAAATGCACGTGTATAGCACTTTAGACATTTTTGTTTCTTTATGCCTCTGCAATCGAGATAAAATGCCAATTATTTCTAGGAAAGTTAATGTAAGTATTACTGATAACATGATTAAGTAAATAAAATAATTAAGAATTGAATTAGATATATATTCAGTAGATAACCATGGAGAGTGGATATAATTGAATAAGTCATGTTGAAAGAAGAAATATCGGGGTTCTATCATTACTAGCTACTAGCTGAAACTAGAACAACAGCCAAAAAAATCACCAGTCTACTTTATCTATATTATGCTTTAGAGTTTTATAATTAAGTATGCTTTTCAGAATCATGTGCATCTATAACGAATTGTAAAGACAAAAGGCAATAAAGAAAGGCATATAGGGAGAATTTAAATGTGTCTTAAAGCCTGGTATTCAGGCTTTATATAAAGATAATCGCTAATGCTATTGTCTGTCTGTCTATCTATCTACCTACCTACCTACCTACCTACCTACCTATATATCCATCTATAGATAAGCCTGTGCCAAAGTAGCCAGTTATCTTTAGAGCATGGATTTCCCTGGAAGGAGTAATCCTTGTCTAACCTCCATAATCCTGTCCTCTGTTTGCACTGTTTCCAAATGGGGACCAACCAGACTCAGTTGTGACTGTAACGATGTAGGAAGTAACACGCTCAACACCTAAGCACTGAGGGCATCTCTTTCCTGGAGCTACTCGTCTCATTGGAAAGCATCACTGCTTTTGTTCTTATTTTTATCTGCACAACATCCCCTGAGGAGACTTAAGGCTTTGTTGTCTACATGAAGCTTTACAACTCTGGGGTTTTGAGGATGCCTTAAAGACGGGTGAAGAAGAGAGACCCTATTGTAATCAACCAGGTGAATCTATGCAGAAAGATTAGCAGTCTTAGCAGGACTTCCACATTGTCTGTGAGCAGCTGAGTGTGAATGATTGTCTGTGAGGAGAGAGGGCCTCCTAGAAATGCCATCAAGTCTGTCCTGGCTTCATTTGGTAGAAAATAGTGGGATCGGTAGATATCTGTGCACCTATGAGAGCTAGAATACATGATAAATATTAAATGAATGGAAAATTAAGGTACTACATTTGGGGAAGTCTATCATTTTTTAATTTTTTAAAAAGATTATCTTTGTTTTCTTTTCTTATCTTTTATATGTAAGCCCATCAATTGCCTACTGGATATAAGGCATTATAATCTGTGTAATACATGAAGAAAGAACCATATATAGATTTAATATCAAAACTGGCATAATTTTAATGTTAGCTATTCTTCCATATAGATGGTATTATGTAGGTTCAAATAAAATTTAAGTTTGATGATGTTATCACTACATTCAAATCTATTCACATGATACATCTTTCACTACTGTGCCAAACACATAAAAAATTGACTAGAAGTGAATAAGAATTTGTTATTTAGAGGAAACTAACTAGTCAAAATTACAAGTTAGAAAAAGCACAATTCGGTTAACTTCTAAAAGAAACTGACATATTTATTAATTCAAATTAGAATAATAAATATGAATGTCACAAATTTATTAACATAAAATTAACTAATATAAAGTACAACATGTAAGCTTGATGCTCCACATTGTACTTTATTTTCTGTTTCATTAGCAAATATCATTGCATTCCTATTTTGTATAGGTAGAACATACATCAATTTTAATGTATTTTTGAAATATAATGATATATTACAGTTCAAAGTTAATATAAGAATTGCTTACAGACTTGGTTAACCAGTTTTTCACATACTAGTATAAAATGGTGGTCTCATTATTGAAGTATCAGTGTCACTTAGAATTAGAAAAAGCCAAAGGGGATTTAAATTTTTCACTGTGACATGTTCAGCAGAGGAACTAGTAAGAGATGCTGTTACGCATCACCCCCGCAGACTCTCAGCCAGCCTTCGCTCCAGCAGTATGTTGTTTTCACCAAATGCTTGTAACAGAAATAAGTTTGAGCCCAGTCAGGCGCATGCTCGGGTTTGTGGGCTCGAGCCCCAGTGTGAGGTGTGCAGGAGGCAGCCGATCAATCTGAGAATGTTAAATATATGTATAGACCATTAAAATAGAAAAAGGTTTACTATTTTAAATGAAGGCAAGTTTACTTTTAAATGAATTTAAGATAAAAAAGGGATAAAAAGTCTTATTTTGATTCAAAAGAACTCAGCTATCTGGCTCATAGCATTAAAAAATGGGAATGTCACCTCAAGGTGACATATTAAGAACGCATACCTTTATTCTTTAAAAAGAAATCACCATATCTGTTGCTAAAAATATATCAGCCTTATCTTTCTTAAAACAGGATCAAAGTAAACTTCATCAATCTTGAACACCTATATTAAATGTCATGCATTTTAATACGGGATTTCTGCATCATCTGCAAGGTATGAAAGCACTAAAACTGGGGGCTAGTTTACCGATCCTCTTGGGATTCAGCTTCTTAAGACTTTTTCCTGTTTTGAAAAAAAATTAATATGAAGTCATGGAAAAGATCATTGCAACAGAAATCACTATCAGACCTTAAAAAGTAATGTAAAAAAATACATATTTCCAGCATTTCAAAGGTAATATTCAAAATAACTATTTAAAACTGAAAGATAAGAGTCTTAGCCCGTTCTAAATAGTAAAACTCAAAAGGTAACACCTAGTAATTGTGTATTTAGAAGGTAAGAGAAATGCTATTTGAGCTACTTTCAAGCACAAGGACAGTTTTAATGTTTTTCAACTTCCACCATCTCTTCGAAAATTTAATACTTTCAATTTGTGAAAAGAATCTAAATACATAGTTTTGAGACCAACCGAAGCCTAACTCCCGGGTTGCTTACTTTTTGATTTCCAGAAAATCCACATCAACCAATATTCCTGAAAGGTCTGGAGAAAGGGTACGCTGTCCTGTATTTCTTGTTCTTTAGGACAGTCAAGGCGGACAGAATTGCTCTGACTATTCTAACTTATATCCATGTATTTTTGGTCTGAATGAGAACAGAGTCAGATTTCATTGTGATGAATTTTCTTGGGGGAAAAATCGCTTGGGAGAATGGTTTTACACCTGAATTTCAAATACCGTGACCTAACGTGAATAAAAGTACATGAATAGTTTAATGACCACTATCAGTCCATACTGCTTTTCATTTCATGGTGATTGACATCAAATTTTGTGCAAGAAAACAGAAAACATATATCAATGTAGCGGAGCCTACCAGAAGTAGAAACTCCCTCACATCCTACAAACTTTAAGGTGGCTCTAGGGCCCCTGTCTCCTCTGCAGGCATTCCTCAAGGCCTGGGAAGTGGGGAGTCCCCGAGCCCTTTCACCCCGATCTGGAAGCAGAGTTCATGACTGCAGTGCTAAGGGCAAAAATAGGGCTTTTAGAGATGATCTCTTCTCCCCCGCCCCCCCAAACATGCAATATGCTTATATACACCGCATACAAGGGAGGTATGTCTATTTGTAAGAAACTTAAGTTATAAAATACTTGAATAAGAAGAAAAAACACCAGAAGCCATTTCGAGTCAATTCTTCCCAGATGGCGAGCGCTATTGGAAAAAGTGTGCTTTAACGGAAATGGGAGACAGAGAGACCAGCCTCCAAACTGCAGGACCCCGTCTCTGCCACTGACGGGAGACACCCTGGCCCATCCTGGTCCTCACCTCATCGATCTGCGGCTCCTGCGCCTGCGCGGCCTTGGGCACCGAGGAATCGCAGTCGGGGCTGTAATGCTCGCAGTAGTCGTAGGCGGCCTTGGGGTCACTGCTGATCAGCAGCTGTTGGATGTCCCCCTGCCCAGGAGCAAACAAGGAGTGGTCAGCATATTCAAATATACACACAGTAGGTCTAGGGCAGTGGTTCCCACGTGGGGCACAGGCCCCAAGGGGAGGGGGGCAAAGTGATTTTTAAGGGGGGCAGTCCGAGAATGAGTTATTCACAGTGAATTTTTTGCACTTCTTATGGTTCTAGGGGTCTCATATACAGTAGATAAACATATATTGTGACATATTTATGCATTTCAATTCTCTATTAGGTTTTGAAAGTTTATTTGCTATTTTTTCATACCACTTCATATTATCATTATTTTTTTAACCATTTCTTAGTGATTTCTTCCTCAGTACTTCAATACTCATCTCGTTCTTTTATTTTTCTCTTTCATGGATGCCATGTTCTTTGGAAGCTTGTTTAGACCAAGTTCATGGCCTTTTAGGCTTCCTCCACATGAACAGGCGTTCAGTTTTTGAATAATAAGAATTATATGTCACGGGGGCGGGGAGGCATCAGGATTTTAAAGATGCGTAGGTGGGGCACGGCCAAAAAAAGGCTGGTTACCACTGGTCTACAAGGCAGACTCACTCAAGATCACGCGTGGTGTATTTCTACATATCTGAAGAAGAAAAATCACTTACTGCTCACTGTTAAAAACAGTCTTATAGGATTGAGAGGGAAACTCACACCTTTTCACTACAGCTGACGCTTGAACAACACAGGTTTGAGCTGCGTGGGTCCACTTGTATGTGGATTTTTTTGTTCAAGAAATATGTTAGGACATTTTTGAAGATTTGTGACAAATTTAAAAAATTCTCAGGTGAACCTTATGATTTTCTCAGTAACATTTCCTTTTCTCTCACTTAGTTTATTGTAAGAATATAGTATAGTAGTGACCGGGTGCACGGATTCGTGCACATTGAAAGGAAATTAATCAGACGGTGGCCAGCAGGGTGAGACTGGGTGAGAAGGGCTGGACACGCCCTGGAGCTAACCTCCCGCAGTCCCTCCCCTGCCAGCCGCATCTGGGGTGGCACTGGTAGCGCCCTGGCTCTGAGGGAGTCTGGGTGGTCCCTCGGGCTGAAACTGGCTCTCCAACATCCCCTGAATCCTGGAGTGCGAGAGGGCATTCTGCAAAGCAGCTGTATTACAGGGTGTGGAATGCAAACGCAAGCATGCAGTAAACCAGATTTGGGCGACAGTGCCCCAGCAACAACATAACCCACGGCCAAAGGTGGAACCACGTAGCCCCGCGAGGAATCGGGCTCCCTCCTTTCTGGTTCCAGGGTGTGCCACCCGAGAACCTTTGCTGCCAAGTCACTGCAGCTCGGCAGTTCCTACATTGGGTGTCTGCCCCCTGGTGGTCAGTGCATGTCATAGCGACTGGTTGGATGGTAGGAGGGACACTTAGCATATCAGCCTTTTATATATATATGTATATATGTATATATACAGCCTTTTATATATAGATAGATAGATAGATAGATAAATCACCTGACATACAAAATATGTGTTAATTGACTGTTTATATGCACAGATTTTTGACTGAACAGAGGGTTGGTGCCCTTAACCCCAGCGTTGTTCAAGGGTCAACTGTATTCTGCTCTTGAAACAATCTGTTTCCACACGGGTCTAATTAAACAATAAACTCAATCTGGGTAGCTAAAGACCGTGTTATTTCATTTTTAAGGTGGACAACACCAACTGATCAATTTAGAGCACTGAGATCCACGTCTGAATTATTATAAATAATCACAAATAACCAAGAGAAATGTGAATACAGAATTATTCATTAGGCTGTATACAAAAAAAAAAAAAAGAGGCCTCACTGAGTACTGGTCTCATGAGGGGTTTCAATTAGAAATCCTGAATCTGGAATTTCCTCCCAGGATGCCGTTAACTAGTTGGAATGATGCAAGTCACTCATCCTCACTCATGGTTTGTAGAAAGAACACACCGAGAGATCCTCTCAGTGGCCCTCTCCAAGACTGAAATCTATAATCCCATACTTAAATTATAGGAAAATACAACGAACCAAGTGGAGACATCCTTGAGATAGAAAAACGTTGCCAACCTCAAATACGCATGTAGTACTTTTAAAATCCTGTGTTTTTGAAGAGAATTACGGTTTCCTAAGTACTTACTATTTTAGTCAAGGCACCTGACCTCATTAAATGGAATCCTGCCAACCTTTCCACCATAAATTCTTATTGCAGGCGGTCCATTTTCAACCAGAAGACACACGACTGAAAAGTTGCTGGAAAATGCAGTTAAAACTCTGCTCTTCTCTAATTCCCAGAAGGCATCTCCCAGTGCTTTTCTGTTAATCATGTGACAGGCTGTGAGACAGTCTGCAGATAAATAAAAGCATCCTGACAGGTGGAGGGAACTGTAAATATTTAGCTTCATTAGTCATAGAAAGTTCCACAGCTGGAAAAAGGTGAAGTTACCCAGTAAAGCTGGCATCCGGAGCACAGCAGGTGTGAAAGCCACCTTCTCCTCCAGTGGGCACAAAGCTTAGAGCTGAGGTGATGCAATTACCTTGCGTGGGCAGCTGTGGAAGCCAGGTCTACACGATAGTGTCTGCCTACAGAGAACATGAGTCTAGAGCAGCCGTGGGCAAACTACGGTCCGCAGGCCGGATCCGGCCCGTTTGAAATGAATAAAACTTAAAAAAAAAAAGACCGTACCCTTTTATGTAATGATGTTTACTTTGAATTTATATTAGTTCACACAAACACTCCATCCATGCTTTTGTTCCGGCCCTCCGGTCCAGTTTAAGAACTCATTGTGGCCCTCGAGTCAAAAAGTTTGCCCACCCCTGGCCTAGAGCAAAGCACGTGTAAGAAAACCTGACGGAACCTACCTATGCTGAGCAGGTTCTGCCGAGTGTCATGTGCATCGCAAAAGGTTCCTGCCACGTTTTCGTTAGACCCGTTATAAGTGACAGGATCGCGTACCCTCCTTTCCAAACTAAAATGGAACGCATGCATTCCAACAATGTTTGGCTTGTTTTCATTTTTGTTTTATATACATATACAATAACTACTTTATTATTTTTTAAATACGTTTTTGTTGATTTAAGAGAGGACGGGAGAGGGGGAGAGACAGAAACATCAATGATGAGAGAGAATCGTGGATCAGCAGCCTCCTGCATGCCCCACACTGGGAACCGAGCCCACAACCCAGGCATGTGCCCTGACCAGGAATCGAACCATGACCTCCTGGTTCAGAGGTCGATGCTCAACCACTGAGCCATGCCAGCTGGCTACAATAACTCTCAATAAGGCTCAACTACTTGTATTTTCTCATCGTTATATCACACTCTAGGAGATACACAAGTTAATTAACTCTGAATAAGGCTCAACTACTTCTATTTTCTCATAGTTATATCACACTCTAGGAGATACACAAGTTAATAAAAACTCAGCTTTTTAGGCCTGTGTAAGAAATCACCTTTATTGAAAAAGTGTCCTACAAGATTGGTTTACTGCTTAAAGGCCACTTGTCCGTGGGTCAATGTGAGGTGTCTGAACTGTCAGATGCAACACCCCATCTGTCTGTGAGACCCACCAGTGCCTGGTCGAAGTCAGTTCCCAGGGTGGGCATCCCCTGAACTGACAACACAGCAGGTGATTCCTAAGAACCGGCACTGGAAAGGCAGCTGAAGGCTCGAGAGTTAGGTTCCCACAGGGCCTCATCCAAGTTATAAGGAAACAATGTTTAGGAAACGATGCTATTCGACAACCTTGCTGCAACTTGAAGGCCTTAAAATAGCGCCTGGCATCTTTCCTTCGTGCATATCCTAAGTTTAAGGATTCAAATAATCAGTCTATGTCACTTGCCTGGGAAGGACACTGTTTCTACCAGAACACAAAGGGACAGGTTCTAGTCTGGGACCCTCTTCTTACTCAGCCCATCTCCACTGTCCAATAAATAAAAATTCACTCAAATACCAACTTCAGAAAGCAAGGCCCTGTCTATTTCGTTCTCTAAGCTTCCTCCCTTTCTGGAATAAGCCTGTGTGCAGCAGGCACACGATAAATGGGTCCCCGGGCAATGAATTTATTCACCACTCCAAGCCTCTATCTCACCCCTGAAATTAAGAACACTCTTATTTATTTGTTTTGCATTTCCTAGAGCTTCTTTAAAAATCAGTATGTACTTAAGCAGTTTTTAAAGTGTAACGTGTATATATGTATTAGGTATCATTATTTCAGTGTTTGAGGGCAATTCAAGGAGAATGCACCTTGGAAAGGCCAATTTCTAGACAATATGTATATGGACCCTGTAAAATTTAAAAAGCGCTGCTGGACAACCCATTTGTGGATGCTCTGAAAATAAATTCCAAAAGATTGGGATTAAGGAGCATTAAAGTCATTATTCTGTAAGGAAAGGCAGTCAGGAAAAAATATATAATCAACGAGAAAGAAAGATGGAGCTAGCTAAGCAGTTTCCAGCATGCGCCACTGTCAAAGCCACTGCCTAGCAAAATTCTAGAGTATTTCCATAAGGTGCCCGCTGGAGGCTAAGGCTTCGGTTCCCCTTTGATATCAGAGCTTTGTTCAATGTCTAGGGGTCCTGGGAGGAGTTTTTGTTTGTATATTCAGGAACAGGGCCGACATTAAATCTTCAACATGGCACAGGCTTCTCAAGGAGCAGCTCCCACTGCCAGAAGATTAATTGGAAACTGATGCTTCCTGTCTGCCCAGACTTCTGAATTTGCCAGGGCGTTCGTTCTCATCGCAGTTCTGCTCTTCCAACATTCCATCCAGTTAATGATTCCTCTCAAGAATTTTGTGTGGAAAAGGAAAGCTGCCAACATGCTTAGAATTCTAGTGTAACTGAAAAATGCATCATCGATTGCGCGGAAGGAGGGAAACCACGTAATCAGAGACAGAACTGCTACCCACACAGTCCTTATATTTCACCCACAGCAGCTTGGGAAATCAATTCTAAGAAAATGGGTAGCGTTCCTGTGTTACTAATTCAACAACTATTTACCAAGTATCACAGAAACTGC